GTTTCAACTAGTTTGAAAATAGAACGTCCTTGAAGGCGATAAAATCACGCGTAGAACTCCTTCCGAACCAGACACTAGCAGCGTAAACTTATTGCAAATTTGGGCAGTTTGGACCCAGTTTGTTCTTACAAGTTTACTAAGTTTCATTTATCATTATGTAGTATACAGGTCCCTGAAACGATGTAATATCGCCGTAAAATACGTGACTTCGAAGCGTTCGAAATTTCGAACAAACTCCCGACACACCTTGCGTGATATGCGTTAGATCAGTGTAGAAGACGCCGACATGCACATCAATGCCTAACACCCTGCACCTAACAAACTTTCCTAGTTCTGGAAGTTTTGCACCATTTTACTTAACATTTGTCGATAGAGAGCGCATTCAACGAATGAGCTTCCTTCAAATGGAGTGATGTAGAATGCGAAGCCTTCAAATGGGGTTCCTCCAAATGGTGTGATGCATAATGCGAAGGCGTGAAATGAGCTTGCTTCAAATAGCAGGACGCAGAATGCGAAGGCATCGAATGAGGTCCCTTCAAATGACATTTTGCATAGTGGATTGGCACTTCGAGGCATCAATGACATGTTTTGGCGTCAAATGGCACGAAGCATTGTGGAATGACATGATGCATTGTGGAATTACAATACAAATACTCGAATGTTGCATTGTGAAATATTGCAATACAAATACTCAAATCTCGTGTTGTGAAATATTGCAATACAAATACTCAAATCTCGTGTTGTGAAATTTTGCAATACAAGTACTCAAATCTCGTGTTGTGAAATATTGCAATACAAATACTCAAATCTCGTGTTGCGAAATATTGCAATACAAATACTTAAATCTCGTGTTGTGAAATTTTGCAATACAAGTACTCAAATCTCGTGTTGTGAAATATTGCAATACAAATACTCAAATCTCGTGTTGCGAAATATTGCAATACAAATACTCAAATCTCGTGTTGTGAAATTTTGCAATACAAGTACTCAAATCTCGTGTTGTGAAATATTGCAATACAAATACTCAAATCTCGTGTTGTGAAATTTTGCAATACAAGTACTCAAATCTCGTGTTGTGAAATATTGCAATACAAATACTCAAATCTCGTGTTGCGAAATATTGCAATACAAATACTTAAATCTCGCATTCTGGAATTGCAATACAAATACTCGAATCTCACATTC